ATTTTAGAGGGAGCGCTTTAGGAAACTCCCAGGTGGCAAATTATGAGAGCTGTCTGCCCGTTGGGGTCCCCGGAATATACATGGATCACTATTAAGCAGAGACCCCACTTACGGAGACTACGCATGGGGAGTTCCATAAACTGCGAGTGTCCCTTATCTACCCCCAAATTCCCAAATGACTTAGTTCTTCTTGCAAGGAAACCCCAAATAGGTTTTGCGAACTTCGAAGCTATCTGCAAGCTTGATAGAAATCTATGCTCCCTTTTTTGGGAACTCTAAACCCTTAACCCTAAACCCCTAAACCCTAAATACTAGGGGCCGTAAGATACTAGGGACCTCAAAACATGGACCACAGCTTTGGCAGAACAAGTCTGACTCCGGATCTCTAAACCCTAAAACCCTAAAACCCTAAACCCTACAACCCTAAACCACGCGGTTTAGGGCTTGGGGTTTAACCCTAAACGCCTAGACCATGAACCCTACATACTTTTGACAGGCACCCTATATCAGGTTTCTGGTTTAGTGCAGTGGCTTGAACACAGTTGTCAATATCGTTCTGAGGTCCAACGTTTGTTTGAGGTACCCTATACTGCAACTATGCATCTGGCACCATAAGGTTGGCAATCATTCCTATATAACCACAGTTTCAACGCCATGTTCCAGTTCCATTTCGTTAGCCATGATAGGGGTACTACCCCTAAACCCCAAATCCTAGGACCACAATGTCCCTACACAGCCTCATCCCTTATCCCTAAACCCTTGGTAATTCTGTAAGCTTTACATTAGGCCCATGCAGCGTTTAGTTCTGTAAAGGGCTAGCGCAGCGGATATGGGGGCCACATAGGGATGTCATCGGATTTATGGTTCAAAGCTTTGGGGTTGCAGCCAGCGGTGGGCTAGTACAAGCGGGGGCAATGGAAAAACCGATAACACACATAAAAAAAAAAAAAAAAAAAAGCAAAAGGGTACCACTGGAAAACCTAGCTTTATTAATTAAGGAATACACCTGAAATGATAATGGGATTCCTGATATGATTTGAAGCATAGTCCTTGATTAAGGGGCATTGGGCTCCCAGGCTACTCCCCAAACAAGAGAATAGATTCAGCCCTTGAAGTTCAACCATGCAAAGAATCCCCCCGCGGTTCTGATGTCTGAAGATGTCTTGCCGGGCTTTAGGTCAAAACCGCTTGAATCTGAAAGGATGCTCATTATGTAAGCTCCAGCATTTGGGTCCCATAGGTTTCGCAACCAGCAACGACCCTTTGCACAGTCAAGCACTTCCTCGGGTGTAAGAAGCTACAGGTAGGATGTACAAGGTTTTAGGATTCAGGGTACAAAGCGGAACCCGGTGTATCGAGCGCCCGCGTGACCTTAGCTGCCTGCACGCACCCTTAGATGTCATCTACCCACACCAATTCAATGATCGTACGAACCCAAGTGCACCTCTCAGATGCCACGCTTTAAGCTTCCCTCTAGCCGTGAAAATTCCAACACATCCAATAAAGGCATGTTATGTCCCCGTGTACATACTCCCGGCAAGATCCCTGCATAGCGAAGGTGTGACATCGCAATGTTTCAAACGCGTCATGCACGCTGCCCGGGAGTTTCTGTCCACGTAGCTGGCTAGAAGGAGCTAGACATGAGCTTTGGATTAAGGCTTAGAGTTCAGCGTTTAGTGTTTAGACCTGGGATCTTTGGATTAGGGATTTGGGTGGACGTTGCAGCTTCCGTGGGATTTAAGCAAATGGTGCCGATTTTATGAAGTCCTGCTCAGCCAACCCCACAACTAGGGTAGATTCGTAGGGACCCAGTAAGACAGACCCCCTTAGCAGCACCCCGCCCGAGGGGGCTATGAGGCATCCAGTTTCTTAAAGACTCTGTCCTATCTGGGGTCCTTAGGGTTGAGGGCTTAGGGTTGTAAACCCGAAACTCCGCTAAACCCTGAATGCGACCAAACCATAAAGCAAAATGTTTTGGGCTGTTCGCCTCAGGTGATGCAGGAAGTCGTGCAGCTAGCGTTGGACTCAATAGGAAAATTAGGGGACAGTAGCTTACTGCTGGCTATGATATTGTCTGCAAGAGGCTAGCGGATACTACGCAGTTGTCTGTATGTTTTTCCCCTACCTAGCTCTTGGATGGCTGACTGTTTGACCCAATCTTCGTCTACAAATGCAGAAACTCCTCTTTGAACAAGAAATTAACAAATTATACTGCCCTGACCCGATATACCGCAACATTTGAAGACTCTTGGTTTGGAGGCTATACTTTGCCTTTAGAGCTTAGGGTTTAGGGCTTAGGGTGTAGGGCTTAGGGTTTAGGGCTTAGGGTTTTAGGGTTTAGGGTTTAGGCCTTATGGCGTAAAGTTTAGCCTTTAGGACTTAGGGCTTCGGGCTAAGGTTTTTTTAGGGGGGTCTAGCGGCACAGCTGTCCTGGATTGCTCAGTCCACCTCCTTCCAAAAGCTGGCAACGTGGTGTCTCCTGCGGAGACCCTGCACTAGAAATAGATCCTGGAGTTTAGGGCTTGGGATTTTGGCTTCGTGGTTCTGGGGACATGATAGGGGCCCTTGCAATTCGCATAAGGTTTCAACATAACACATCCCGTTTCTTGGCATGACACCAAGCATTCATGTGTTCCGCCCGTGTAGGCTGCCCACATGATTGCGCAATTTGAAGTTTTATTGTTGGCAAGACAATCCTTCCTAACTCACGAATGCTTAAGGGAGTAGATGCATGGATCCCTGTACTAATCACATTATTGTCCCCTACTAGGGTACCTGCATGTGCTGTCCCTGTCAGTCCTGGCACCAGCAAGTAGGTGCCGGCCGTAAGCTCATATAATCCATATAAACCAAATAATCTCAGTGTCCATGGAAATTTCCATCTGATTCTCCACCGCTATTCCTATATACCACCATATATTTTTGTGTTGAAAGCCTTTAGGGCTCCCACGCCAGGATCCATGTAAGAAAGCGAGCGGATGCTCCTGTACTTAGCCTCACGCTATCTGAGAAAAGACAAAAACTTGGAGAGTGCGCCTGCAGGGGCAGCCCTGAAGCAGGTTCAGGGTTCAGGGCTTAGCGCGTTTAGGGTTTAGGGTTTAGGGGTTCAGGTAGGGTCGAAAGCATGCCTAGGTAGGCCTGAATCTAGCTGGGATACTTGTCAAGTAGACAGTTGACGGCTGCAACGCACTTCATGGTCACTGCTAGAGCAAGGTCATGTCCCCGATCGGACTGGAAAGCCCATGTGAGCTTTAGTCAAAACTCCTAGTAACCCCCTTTATAAAATTCCCTAATACAACCGCCTGTATGACCCCCTTTAAGGAATTTAGACTATAGCTTATGTGAGCTACAGCTAAGTATACTAATAGAAACCCGGACAACTTGCAAAGCGCTCGCTTCAGTACCTAAGCTTGCTTTGACTTCAAATCGCCGATTAACTTACTGATAATTTTATATATCATCCTTGCATAGTCCTCATAATCCTATATAAGCTCCCTGTAATCCATTTTTTCATATATTCACTCAGATTATTCCCTACCAATTCTATACTCCCTGTCTTCAGGAGCCGTCCCTGCGGACGAACCGTGTCCTTGTCAAGCGGGCCTAGTCCTTCCTGATTCAAATAGCAGTACTACTCGTATTAATAATAACAGTACTAATACTGTTATTCCGATGATACTAAAAGTCGCAATAAGCATAATCATAAGAATAATCATGAGCACATGCCGCCAAGCCATCCAATTTTTTCGCAACTGCTCTGAATACCACTCTAATGTGGCCCTCTTACACCTGCAGTTTCAACCACAAGCCGCTCGTGGAGGAGTAGAACCCTCAAGCAACAAAACACGAAGCATGGATCCATAGTGCTCGATGAGGACACGGCCCGTGCAAACAAGACGCTCAAGCGTACAGCTTGCTGCAGAATGCATTCACATCATCACTGTTCCAGCTTAGCTGAGGAGGTTAGGACCTTGTTAGGATGTGCCAGAATACTTCCAAAACGGTTGCAAACTGCATTGCTGATTCCTCACGCATTCACATTTGGGCTGGGGAATTGAGTGGTACAATAAGAATATGAGACGGCCCTAATGTAAGCACTATTATCACTTATACTCAACATTGCTGGGTAGGGCTTCCACCTAAGACATACAGTACCAACTGGAACACGGAGTCGTCGACAAGTTGTACGTTCACCACACGTATGGTAGTTTCCATAAATAGGGGGAGGCAAATACAGACCCCCAAACACCATAATCCTGATTATAGATACCCCAAAAACAGGTACCCCTAATTTGTGGGAATCTGCATATTCTACACCCCCCAATTAACAATCTAAGGTTGAAACCGTATATACATACGATATACCCTATATGTATCCTTAAGGGTCCCTAGAATCAGGGACTTTTCCTTTGTGCCCTTAGAGTTTGTAACCTTGGGTTTGGGTCACTAAACCATGGAACATGGCCCTTAATAAGGGCATTTGGGACCTAAAACCTAGGGTCACAAGCCCTAAGGGTACAAACTTAAAGTCTTTGATAGAATCCCCCTAAGAGGCCTAACGCCCATATGAGGAGCCCATACTTTTAACCATAGAAGCACGCAATACCTACATGGGGTTCCACGTTGGTTTGGGGCACTGCAGCGAGTCGCTTATCTGGGCTGCTGCTAATGGTTTAGAGTTGGTTTAAGGGTTTAGAGTTCGGGTGAGTTAGGGTTTTGGGTGTAGGGTTAAGGAACTTGGGAAATTTAGCTGGCATAATACTGAAATACAGGAAAACCTGGAAATTTCTTATCACGTTTTTTGCCTTTAGTTCCCTGAGTCCTCATATACTACAAAATGCATATAGCTTCTGTTTCAATTTGTTTTCCATGTTCTTTTCCATGTGATTCTCCATCATTCTCCCGCATCATGTACAGGGTAATTAAACGTTTGATGCGAGCTACGTTGACCAGATGACTCTTATCTGGAACGGAGGGGCACTACGACCGGCAGCATTTCATTACGCTGCCTCTCCGTTGCCCTCTTTCGAGGTGTCCTCCGCCTGGCCAAGGCTGTTGACAATAGGACTGATAGATGAAATCAGACATGTTCCAAATGTGATATACTCATCACTTGCCCCTGATACTAGCGGAATCTTTGATATTGATGGTAGGGATTAGCATGATTCAGATGAGAAGTTGGTCTTTGAGGTCCTGTGCAGTACTTCAGTCTTGTGCAGACGCAACCGCAACCGGAGACCCTTATCGTTTAGGAAAACATGGATACCTGAGGGGTCATAAGTGTGTTGGGGGAGGGGGTGAGCCAGGGGCATGGCATATATGAACTTTCTCCCAATATCAGCCATATTGCTTAGATCTACTAAGGTAACCGCAATGCAGTAAACGGATCTGCAGTTGGGAAATTTCGGTCGAACCTGATGATTTGCTTACACACGCAACTGGTCAGTTCGCAAAAAACAGCCTCTTCTGTCGCATAACATACTCCCGACATTTTGGGGTCTTCAAATTTACACATCCTCCCCGGTAGTGATACGCGTCTCAGATCCCAACACAAGTTTGGGGGTTTAAAAAAGTGGGGGGTCCCCTCTTCAACCCCTACATTGTCTAGGTGGTACCTTAAAGGCCCCTAAATTATTGATTAATAGATTCCCTTCTACAACAACAGGGGCAATTGTCCAAGGTGCTACCTAGTTGTGGTGTGTACAGGGGGGCCTCTGCTTCTTGAAAAATGCCGATGCATCCACCACCATTAACCTCCGGATCCCGATCCCCAAGCATCTCAACTTGCCCTCGAGTTGCTCGCAGACTTTTAGCCAACCCAACATACCTGGACCCTCAAGCAGGCAGAATCATGGCATTTGCTCTTTTTGGTGGGTGTAGTGCCATTCTTTCACCTACTTTTGACGTCCAGGGTAGAACTCAACGCACCTTGAAGGCAATGTCGAACACTTCGTCATAATGCGTTGCGAAGTGCACCTCAAATTGTACAGGACTTGGGACCTCAAAAAACAAAGAACCGAGGACCAGAAATTGCAAGTAGCTGGCATGTCCTTGCTGCACTAGAAACCTGAGAGCCACAGACAGCAATTACTGCTAATGGCGGTGAGCATAAACCCTAAACCATAGAAATCCCTAGGGGTACCTGTAGCTACATAGTACATACTTAGGCCCTAGAGCTTTTACATGGGAATCCCTTTGGCCCCGAAGTATATACTACGTAACCCAGACCCCTGATTAATAAACCCCCTCCCCTTAATAGGGATTATTATAGGGATCCGAATGCTAAGGCCCTTAACTTAACAGGAAGGTGTTTTAATCATGGGTCTACCTTACTTACATTGAGCCTTTGGGAGGCGTAGTCATCTACCAGTCATGGGCGTCTCTTGGTGTTTTGTCCCTCTTGATGCGCCTTCTCAGCTTGTGATGAGTCTCATTATTGAAATTATGTTGTGTTTTAAGGCGTAGGGTTTAGGGTTCAGGGCTTAGGGTACTATTACTATTACTACCACTATCACTATTACTCTTGTCCTATTATTGTTATTGTGCTGTTATGTCTTCTGTCAATTCCGAGTTCAGCTTTTGAAAGTCTTTAGGACCCGAATGATTGACCTTCAAGGCTGCTGGCTTTCCTACCCGGCAACCGTGAGTTTAGGGTTGTGGGTCTAGGGTTCTCCTGAATGACAAGGATAGCAAGATGCAACTGAGTCAAGTCAAGCTTTAAAACAGGAACCTGCTGGCACACCAGCCGACAGTACCAGGCTTGTAGCAAAACTTAACGGTTAATGAATGGACATGGGTTCCTTACTGAGGACTATATTATGGACTATACTCAACAACGAAAGTGACCCATGTGTCCACGTTGAGGGTCCCTTAATAAGGCTAACTAATATTGACAGCAGTATCTCATATAATGTTGGACCTCCTTTATTGAAAGGGTCCCCTACAATGAGTTTTGGGGCGTTCCTATGCAGGATCACGGCAATGATTGCAAGGCCCCCTATAATGTGTTTTGATTTTGGGGCCTAAAAATTTGGGAAGGATTTTCAACAATCCCTTTTAAATCAATCCACAGGGACCTCAGAACCGTTGGAGCTCAGGGGGCGGTATTGAGGATCCCCAATTTCTACTTTTCGGTGGGCCCTAATGTCAGGGGGGGGGGTCCTACTTGAGGTCCTGGAGGCACTGGAGGGTACACCATAAACCCTAAACCCTAAACCTAAACCCGGGAATTCCCCACATGCTGCGCGATGCCACGGCAAGCCAGCTGACAGCTGGCTGTGCAGGGATTCTTTCAGGGTTTAGGGTTATAGGGTTTAGGGGTTATAGGGTTTAGGGTTAAATCCACACCCGCATTAGGGTTTACGGTTTTGGGCCCAGTTGTTTAGGGTTTAGGGTCCGGTTGTACCATAGCTTTCTGAGTGCCCGAGCTGTAAGACCATCGCGCAGGTACTCTGGAAGCTCGTCGAAATCCTTGCCTTAGTTTTGGAAGGGGTTTATGGTTTAGGGTTTAGGTACGTAGGGCACCCCAAAACCCTCACATGAGGCGTAGGAGTTGTACATAAAGGGCACAAGGCTTCTAGTGACCGAAGGCATTCTCCAAAGGGAGAATCAAAAGCCCCCACGCTGTATGCACATCTTTGCGTCTTTCTTTTCGTACACTGGGTCGTGAATGTGTGTGTAGATATCTAGAGACACACGCACACCTGAACCTCTGTCCCAGACAACCCTCTGACCTGTGAATGTGGAACATGGCTCTCCAAGCTTTTTCACTGAAGACGCAGTCTGAGTCCTGGCGTGAAAATCTGTTCACTATTCCTCCTCCTTCTCAGCGATACCACTGCATGTTTCTCCCCAATGGCATTTTCTAGTTCAGGGTTTACGGATTGGGGTTTAGGGTTCGAGGTTGAGGGATTAATTAAGGTGTGTACTCCATGACGCCTCAACCCTACTTCGTGGTCACTGGGCGTCCGAGCGGTTCGCTTGGGGGAACACCAAGGTCTTGCATCCCGCACGTCGTGCGGCTATCGTCTTTTCCTGCGGAATGTTAGGGCAAGGACTCGAGAACTTAGCGGTTCGGGCTTCAGTGTGTAGAAGTGTTGGACTTCAGGATTTTGATCGTAGTGCCATTTAGACTGTCGGCGCTCTCTTTGTCAGACCATTTTACCCTTGTAATCGGACTGTCTAAATTCCTGTATGACTGACAAGATCTCACTTACCTGGACAATCCACTTTCCTGTTTGAGACATAACCGTTATCTGGGCCCCACGATACATGTATAACGTACAAGGTTATATAAGGATAATATATAGGGATGTACAGGCCTCGGTGGGCTTCCGAATTTTAGGGGTACATCTTTCCGTGTCTCCAGAAACAGGATCATAGGATACTGGTGTCTGTATTGGGGCTTCCTGTTTTCGGCAACCACCATGGCATGTGCATGGTGGGAAATGGTAGGTGCAATTCTGCTTGGACATGTGTACAGAAACAGGTTTCCCTAGCCGCTCAAATAATTGCCAGTTTTATGGTCTAAAATTCCTTATATACTTTCGTAAGGTATAAGATACCTCGAATATACCTCGAAATGACTTTGGTGATTTTTTTAGCCTCTATGTGACATAACCCTATTTCAACACCTAAGTCATTCCAAATGTATGTCCCTCTCTAGGCCCATATATCCACTGAACCCGGTGGCCTGCACGGAAACACATGAACTAAGCCTTCGCAACCCTAAACCCTAAACCCCTAAACCGTTAACCGCGTGCCGTCTGTGAAGCTCTATAAACCCTAAACCCTTCAACCTGAACAACTTGAAATTGCAGAGCTCTTGGCATGCGCGGCCCTCCAGTGAAAGATGCTTCCAGGACCTTCTTAGTACCGTTCATGGGGGTTAGGAGGCCCGGAACATGGGTACTTGGGTCCGAATAGAGGGGATTCCTATAATAAGGACTGCAGCATGTTGGGGTCCCCTTACTTGGGCAGATTTAAGGTTTAAGGTTTAGGATTAAGGTTGAGGTTTTAAGGTTTTGGATTTAAGGTTTAAGGTTAATGGTTTAGGATTTAAGGTCGAGGGTTAAGGGTTTTGGAGTTAAGGTTTAAGGTTTAGGATTTAAGGTTGAGGGTTAAGGGTTTTGGAGTTAAGGTTTAAGGTTTAGGATTTAAGGTTGAGGGTTTAGGGTTTTGGATCTAAGGTTTAAGGTCAAAGGTTTAGGATTTAAGGTTGAGGGTTTAAGGCGTTGGATTTAAGGTTCAGGGTTTAAGGTTTAGGTTTAGGATTTAAGGTTGAGGATTTAAGGTTTAAGGTTTCGGATTCAAGGTTGAGGGTTTAAGGTTTCAGATTTTAGGTTTAGGGTTTAAGGTTTAGGATCTAGGGTGCCGGGTCTGGGGTTTTCCAAAACACGGGCACAGTTTTGGGGATCCCAATATTAAGGGTTATGGCATATTGAGAGGGGGACCTACCATATGTACATGACACTGCCCAGTCTGAGCTAAATTGAACAAATCATTCATGATCATCAAAAAAGACCCTTTGAAAAGTATTCTCGATGGTATCTCAATGAAGGTTGAGCTCGTTTGAGCTCGTTGTCATTAACCCAGCTAGTGAAACCCCTGATCTCCGCTTCTAGCCTGGGGCATGGCCTTAAAAACCCCTATAATAATCCTCTATATAGTCCCCGATATAAACCACCCCTTTAGGCAGTTTAGGTGTAGACTATAGCTCACATGAGCTTTCTTGATTCAAGGGAGGGCTAAACCCTAAACCCTATAGTCCCCCTTAAGTAGATAGAATATGGGTATACTGGGATCTTATTCAAATATACCCAAAACCATATTCTATCTACTTAAGGGGAACCCTAAACCAGACCCCTGGAAATCCTTGATGCCCCCGACAGCCAGGACCTTGCCGTTCAAGGAGACCTCTCAGAGTCGGATGCATCAGCACCAACACTATGGGTTAGGAGGACACCCCACCGTGTAATAGTGACCATAAGGGATAATAAGGAATATATTAGGGTCCTACATATTCCTAGTATACCACTATTACAGGGACGGGGGTCCTCCTAAACTATGGTTTTACCAGCTCTAATTGATCATGCTGGCTTGATCTTCCAGGTGTAGTGTTTCCGTTGTCGCAAGGTGGCTGCTTAGTAAATGTGTGGCCGCCGATCTAGTCACCTCGCTTCAGCCGCTTTCGAACTTCGTGAGTTTGCCACCTGTCTAAACTGGGTTGCTGTTAGGGAACTTAAACTAAGTTGCTTGGGGAAACCCTATTATTTACCATTTGTATACCCATTATGGTAACTTAATTCAAGTTCCTTAACAGCAACCCAGTAAAAGAGCTAAGGGCGCAGGACAATGCAGTCTCCCTCAGACTTGGCTTGTCTCTCAAGAGCCTTGTGAATGCACGTGCGGCAAAGCCTGAAGTTTGGTGCCATGGAGGAACTGTGGCCCGCAGCAGCCCAATACTCGTACATTGCAAGAACTAGGCTAGGTTTGGGGCCCTCTAAAATGAATTTCTGTGACTTTAAAAGGGAGTACGGGCAACAAAAGCTGAAAATATGTTCAAAATTACACCTGAAAATCTGTTGCAAGCAATTTCGGCCGGGCCGTCGTGTGACAAACGTGGGGCCAGGACCGACTTTGCTACCCCCCCGGGATGCACCGATGCGTCTCCCTAGCTGAGTAGCACGTCTTTTTTTCGGAGGTTGAAGCAAGTAAGATTGGTTTTGGTTTCAAGGTTTAGGGTTTAGGGTCTGTATAAAAATGCTATACCCAAAAGGCGGATATAATCTTAGGCTATTTTTGGGTACCATAGTATCCCCCATACAACATTACTACTCTAGTGAATCACTCCTGTTCTGTTCCATCTGAAGCCCTGAACCCTCAATCCTACACATATACATTTCTTGATCCAGCCCACTGTAGCCTGTGAATTGATTCTTTACGTGCGAAGAAATAATGGTAGACCCCAACACTCCTGTGTAATTCGAATTTGTATGCGTCCTGCAGCTCAAGAGCAAGCCCCTGAATCCTGAATGCTGATAACGACATGATAACGATACGCATGGCAACAAGAATTGCATGAGATAAGCATGAAAAAGCATTGACGCAAGCCTGATGACAGGACTGATTCAGAAAATAAAAGTTCATACTCAGTACACGACATTGGCATAACGGAATGGACCCCATTGCCACTATGCACAACAACCGTAGAGGTGACATGACAACCTTTTGCGGACACAGATGCGATAGTCACCAGGGCTGATTGACATCTCTTGCTGGCTGCATGCGCTAGTAATAGTCATCATAGTTCAGACAACAGCAACAATACTTTCCGAACCTTAAAGTAAGCGAATGCGAGACCAGCCTGAAAACATTCTTTAAGGTGTTGTCGGGTGCCCCTTAAAGAGCATCGACTATGGCTCCGGTGAGGCTATCATTTTCATAGCCATTTGCCGTGGTTCGGCCTCGCCGGTCATGGCTAGGTCTGTGGCAATTGGCTTCCTTAGCACTCAGCAGCAAACCTTGGAACCTAAACCTTAACCGTGTTGGTTGTTCAAAATACCCGTTCCCTCTAAATGGCCATAAGGTGAGTACGCAAGGGCTCAAATTTTGTTTAGGGTTTGGGGTTAGGATTTCCTTTTATATCAGGAAGAGTATTACCACTGGGCCTTCCTTCACATAAGGGATCTTTGAACCCCGCGGTCAGCAGCAAGGATCTGGAAGCTTGGAAAGCACAACTGCAGGCACTGCCGGATGTTTCAGCTTGTGAATTAGATCTCAGAAGCAAGCAGATTTGTCAACCCAAATGGCTGCGATTCAGGGCGGTGGAGGGTTTAGGGTTTCCGGATTCAGGATTACTTCCCCTGAGCGTGAGTTCAAAGTGCGAAAAAACTCAATGAGCGTCTCTCCTCAGAAACAAGTGCAGGTCACCAACTCCACCTCTCACCTTACCCGTCCGGAAATGCAGGGCGGGATGCTCGAGAGCCAAGGACAGGAGGGCCGTGGTCATGGTGACTCCAGCCTCGGCAACACTCGGAAAATGAGTCTGTGTACGGCAGCGATGTGGCAGCAGATGCTCCGCGAACCAGAGGCAAACGGAAGAAGAAGAATACCTAGCTGGGGAGGCAGAGGGGCAGGCGCTGGAGTAGGTGGGATTGGGAGTAGGAGTGGGAACAGGAGGGGGAGTAGGGGAGCATGAGCGGTAATGGGAGTAACAGTAGCAGTCGCGGCAGCAGTGGTGGTACTGGTAGCAGCGTAAGAATGCAAAAGCAATAGTGGTATTATCAGTACTAGCGATAGCAAGAGATGGCGCAAGGAACAGCAATAACGTTTGTCAAGGAGTGTATCAGCAAGGGCAGCAGGAGCAGTGTCGGGTTGATGATTGGTATTGTTACAGTGCTACTCTTGTTGTTGGTGCCGCTTGTGGTTGTGGTTGTTGCTGTTGTTGTTGCTGCTGGTGTTGTTGCTGCTGCCCCTGCTGGTCGTTTAGTGCGGTGCAAGGAACAGCCAGCAATAGCCGTTGGGAAGACAGTAGCAATTAGCAGTAGGAGCGACGTCGTCGAATAGCTTGAGTATGCGTAGTGTTCTTGTCATTGTCTGTACCACTCTCATTATTGGCACTGTTGGTTGTTGTTGCTGTTGCTGCTGCCGCCGCTGCCGCCGCTGCCGCTGCTGCTGCTTCTGCTGCGGTTTCTGTTTTTGTCTTTTCTGTTGCTGCGCTTGTGGTTCAGAGTTCAGAAGGGTTGTGGTTGGTGTTGTTGCTGTTGCTGCTGCTGCTGCTGCTGCTGCTGCTGCTGTTGCTGTTGCTGTTGCTGTTGCTGTTGTTGTTGTTGTTGCTGCTGCTGCTGCTGTTGTTGTTGTTGTCGTCGTTGTCTTTGTCCTTATCTTCTTCATTCTTGCGACTGCTCATTCTTGCGCCTGCGCAGCGCCACAAGGACCAGTCTGATAGGTGCCGGGCAGACGGGCCATCTTTTGGAGTTGCGCCTTCTGGGCAATGCAAGAAGAGCTCGTGGTCCTCCCCAGGTGCCCGGAGTGTAATGCATTGTCAGGCCTGAATGACGTGCTGTACGCTCATATCCTACTACACTTCAGAACCTTTAGCCTAAGCAAGGCAGATTCGCTCACCAAATCCCGTTTAACACAACGCAATGCTACAGTCTCAGAACCCTGGGTACACTACTTGCCACCCGCAGGTTCATGTGGCACGCTTGCATGTCTGGGATCTTGGGATCATCAATTCCTAGACCGATGAAATACCAATGTGCCTCAAAGAAGGATGAGCCGGAACCTCGCGCAGCCAGCTGTCGTCGTGCCACAAGGAGCGCGATGGAGGAGGACTCCTACTTAGAGGGTCACGGGCACTTAGTGAGTGTCCTGACAACCCCTATGAGCCACATCATCACTCAGAGTTACATTCCCCGTGCAACCTACCTACTATAAGGACTGCAGAATACTTGGAGGGTCAGGGGGACTTAGTAAGTAGATTATAACCCCTATAACCCATACAGTAACCCTAGTTATCCCCATTATTAACCTACTTACTAAGTCCCAATGACCCTCCAAGTATGGGGTCGTTCGGCGCTCAGGGGAAGGCAACGGTTCCGTTTACCTCTGGTTAGTAGGGGATGGGGAATGAAAAGACTATGGAAAGTAGTCAGTTATTGGGATTATGTAGGACTACTATATGGATCCGTTCCTTCATTTGAGAGGTAAGTCATGTCAAGTTCATGGGAAATAGGGGTTACAGCAGTCAAGAACTAAGGGGCCCTCAACCCTAAACCCTGAACCCTAATCCTAAATGCTAAACCCTGAACCCTAACTGTGTCTCACCCAAAACCTACTTCAAAACTGCCCCGCCAACATCTCAAGCGGGAAATCTTAATTCTCAACTCATTACTGGAGGCTAGCAGGGGATAAGGGTATACATATACATGTATATATGTATATATACATATACATATATATATATATGTGGCAAAAGGCTTAGGCTTTTCTGTTGAGGGTAGGGAATAAGGGCATATGAGTGTTGGGGACTTATGTAGGGATTATATTCCCATGTTCACTACTAAGCACCAGTAAGACTCCTGCGCAGGTGCGTAAACCTGGCTTAACGTGTCAGCGAACAGCAACCTTAAGGACTGTTAGGGTTGATACTAAAGTATATAGGGGACGATTATTGGGGTTATTAAGGGGGATACTACAGTTGATACGAAAAATCCTGCACGACCTTGCTAACTATGATACTACTATAATTCTGAAAGTATAAGGTACTTCAGGTCATGCAGGGTTTTCAATATCCACGGTAGTGATTGTAGGTGCACACGGTAGCATTGCGAGGAGAGAGTTGCGGATCCAATGGACATTTCACCCCTCGAGCAATAATGTGTGTAACTTTGATTGGTGTCTCCTGCCGTATACAAAAATGCCAGTTGAACGTTACCCTCGCCGAAGCGGAGAACCAGTGTGCTTTGCCTAGCCAACGGCCTTCCAAGTAGAAAACCATCAAGCTTCGACAAGTTAGTTTTCTACATTCGCACTTTCAATATCTCCCTATCGCAACACCCAATACAAACACTCTTCATCCTGTCTAACTACCATTCCAAGTTTGCCATGTTCGGACTAGCTCCTCGAGAGCCCAAAAGGATTCACAAAAGAAAGGTTGACCATCCCTGTATGACCATTCTGGCTACTAGGTTTAGGGTTTAGGGTTTAGGAATTCTGGCTACTAGGTAGCCCAGCAACAATATGAGCTATAGTCTAAACTCCCAGTCTCCCCCTTAATAACACCTAAAGTAGTCCCTTGAAAAATCCCCCATATAATCCCCTTTAAGGAGTTTAGACTATAGCTCATATGACGAAAGGGTCTTCTATTCCTTGTTGGCTAAGTCAAGAAAACCGTAAACCCTCAGGGTACATGGGTACCACTGGGTTTCCCAGGCGATGATTCCTCCTCTTCCTCCTACTGCCTCAGCCCAATTTTTGTCAAGATTATCCTATCTTCCTGTCATACAAACATCAGGAACATCCCTTCAACAAGTTGTTGACGTTGCAGGTATTCCTAGTTGTTACTAAAAAGGATAATCTTACTATACAGCTGCTCAAACGGTGTCTATCCTGCCTGACATGCCGGCCATCCACACCACGAGCTCCTTCAAATAGGTATTGTTGGAAATGCCTCTTACCCACCTCGCGACACAACAGCTTTCAATACACAAGCTAACATGAAATTAGTGGCATACACGAGTAAAACCAAACGGGAAAATTTAATCCTAATCCCTAAGGCCTAAACCCTGAACCCTTCCATCTCCTTCATCACGCTGCCCAGCTGGCCCGTCACTGCCAGCGCTGGCGGTGCCTTCGGCGCCCCTTCCGCCGTGGCGCCGCGGCGTGGCAGTGCTGTGGCTTCCTGGGCAGCAGACGAGTATGTAGGGAATGCATAAGCCCTATAGGCTTATATAGGGAAACATAGGATATATGGGGATTATATAGGGACATTTCCCTAATCATGGAGAATCAAATGGAAAAACAAATGGACACTAGACTCATATGCATAGGGGACTTAGTCAGCAGGTTCTAGGAAGCCTTCAAGGGGGGATGCTATATGGGGTTTGGTTTTTTTTGGCCCAAAGGACTTAGTAGGTAGGTTATAAAAGGAGTCATAAGCATACTTACTGCAACTAGGGGACTTGTTTTAAATCCATTCGTAACCTACTCGCTGGGTCCCGGGGTCTTCAAAGCGGAATAACATCAAAAGTCAGAACTCCAATGACAATAACATGAAAACTGTACTGCTACTGACGATGTTGGGCACAACTAGCATATACAGGGAGAATGGATAAGAAAACGGAGGCTACCATTCAGGGTTTAAGGTTACGAGTATTTCCTCAATAATGGAGAATCAGTTACCAAAAACGAAACATGAAATGGAAACACTAGATCCCGTTAAAAAGGGGATATCCAGGCATATATGGGGTCTAGAGACATTACTCCAATAGTTCAGAAACGCATGGAAGAGACAATGGGAAGTGAAATGCAAACTGGGGTCATGTAGGGGTTTAAGGTACTGGAGAGTTAAGTCTGACTTAGCAAGTAGGCTAATACTGGAAAAGCAGGTGGAAACTGCTATCCTGCTGAGGGTTTGGGGCTTAGGTTGCTGCTACTACTTCTGCTGCTGTGACTACTTATGCTGCTATGCCGCTACTGGTGCTGCTGCCGCGACTGCTGCTACTACTACGCAACAAATTGATACCAAGAATCCCAACACAACGGCCAAACGTGACAAAGCCAGAGATATGTCAACCCCGATCGCTGCACGGATGAGGTTAGCAAGTTGGATCTCTTTAACTAGCATCCTTTCCCCAGAAGATGCCCTAAACCCTGAACGTTCTTTCCGCAGCAGGTGGTGAAGTTGGGGCCCTTGGGAGATCCCAAGTAGAGAGAAAGCTCGGTCAAGGGTCTGACACAAGCGCTAGGGCTTTACAGTTTAGTGACGCTGCTTCATCCGTATGGATTTGGGGGGCAGCAAGCGCTTTGGAATACTTCCCACTCCTTCAAGTTTGCTTTCCAACCGCGTTTTGTGTCTACCAGGCCCAGCATATTTCAAGTCAATGGCAAAGACCACCCCCCTTTACAAGCTACATCAATCTCTTTACGCCCCCCCCAAATATCTTAAGCGGACGTCCCATTAACCCCCGCCAACCCCAAACCCTTGCCCTCCAGGCTGTTACGCTGGATGGAGGAAAACTTCCTCTACCCAATATGCGCTATTCCCTAGAATTACAGCATTCTATCGCTCCAAAACAAAACGGTGCAAGATGTGGAGGTTTCCATAGATTGGCCCAAGATCAATCCCAAATCTGATACTCCTGATTTCTGGAGCTTCCTAGAAAGACCCATCCTTTATACTGCATTATTTGAATCTGGGAGCGATGTAAAGCACAGAGCCTCCCAGTGCAGTCCAGGCAAGGCCTCCGCCGAAGCAAGATGAGATCAGAGTTTCAGGTTTAGCGTTTAAGGGATAGGGTTTAGGGTGGGTTTAGGGTTTAGGGTTTCAGGTTAGGGGATAGGGCTAAGGCTTAGGGATGTAAAGGCTATGCTAAGGGCCCAAGTACCCCAATAGTGAGGTTTCTAGGTCCCAACAATTTTGAAGTAGAGCATTCCCAGAAGCCCCACTACTTGGGTATTTGAACGCTTAGGTTTTTTTTGTTTTTTATAAGGTTGGGTTTTAGGGCGTAGGGTCTACAGGGCTAAGGGCTTGTATGGACTTAGGTCTAGGGCTTGGGGTTTCGGGGTGTAGGGCTTGAGTTTCGAGTTGGAGGTGTATGGATAATCTATAACTCAAATGGAGAATGAAATTGGGACAGGGGTGTGCAGGGATTTAAGGATAAACGGCTTTCATCGTCATAACCTAGGACCTACGCATAACTGCACGTATGACCGGGCTATAAGCCCCTTCAATCCTCCCAAGTGGTTATCCCTGGGTTATAAGGCAAGTAGCTACAGCTATAGGCAGGTCACAAATATCCTTTAGGGGATCTGGGTACTGTGCAACTGCAAAAACTGCAAAAGCTGTGAAAGTTGCGAAGGTGCGCCAAGATAACTGCTTCTGCAAGACTCCGGGTGCGATACTTTATTGAGGGGAGCGTCAATAAAGAGTTTATTGAAGCCACACTGCGCAACATGCGCGACACCTCTGAAGCTCATCCTTCTCTCAAAAGCCCCCGAAACCCCAAGTGTAAACTCTGAACCTGCTAGCCCCTAACCTTGTGGGATAATAAGCAAAAAATGGTTATATATAGCCCTTAATAGGACCCCCTAATATGGACTGTTACTGGGTGGGGACAGTACCCAACCCTAACCCCTAAATCCCCGCCTGTCACTGTGCCTGGCGGAAGGGCCCCTTCATATAGCCGGTCCGAGGTGAAGACCTCATCTGAGCTAAAGTCTAAACTCCTTAAAGGGGCGTATAACGGGTTTAGGGTTTAGGTTTAAAGGGGATTCTATAGCGGAGTATTATAAGGGTTATTAAGGGGAATACTAGGAGTCTACATATCTCATCTGCAGTGATGCAGAGGTAAATTGGAGGCTCGGGGGACCTCGCAGGGAATGGAAAAGCAAATTCAACTTGATGTGTGTATATATATATACATATGATATGTGTGTATATATATATACGTATATAGGCTCATATGTATATACATATATATATACATATACACATTACTGCATTTCCTGGAGTGTAAGGTGGAGGGAATGGGGACTTAGTAAGTTAACAACTTCTATAAACCATATCTCCTGAAGCCCGAGCCCCTGTGAGCCTTAAACCCTACACAAAAAAGCCTAACTTAAATGTTCTGGTACCCAAAGAACAGGTTTTTGGGGCCCAGAAACTATACTTGAAATGGCCCTAATACAGAACAGGTGGCTGTGGGGCCTTGCACATCGAGATGTTCCTGTCTTTTGTTGTATATTTAGCTGCATTATGTCATGCATTACGTATTGCGTTGATGCGCGTGCATTGCATATAGCGATCTTTGCTCAAGGAATGTTCATAGGATTTTCCGACAAATACGTCTTCTGCTTTTGTAGTTTGTGGAGAATTGATGCGCTGATACGAGGGCGTTGGATCCCAAATACACTGAGAGTAGGGTATTTGGGACCTAACCCCCTCTCCTGCATACGGACCCTGGGGAACATGCAGAAACCTGAAAATACTACCAACATTACTCCTCCGTCTAGTATCACGTCACGCCACAGCCCTAGGCCTATAAAAAACCATGTAAGCTTCTATGTTAGGAGGTTCAAGGTTCAGGGGTAAAAGTTGGGGGTCATTTGCGGGTTGGGGTTGGGAATGGAAGAGATGAGGGTTACTTGTTGATCCTCCACTACTACACTGCTTCTGGCTCAGGACCTCAAGATTGGCAAGCCTCCAGTGGGATTGCATTCCATGAAAAAATGATGAGAAGCTAGGGTCACCCAGAAGAAGCCCACCCAAGAAGAAGCCCAACCCAAAATCTTCCTGGGGGTAGCTGAAAACCCTCAACCTTAAACCCTTAACCACTACATATCTGCCATCGAGGACCCTACATCCTGGGTGACAAGACCATGACTCCTCAATCGCCTCTCTCATTCTCACTCTCCCACGCTTTCTTTCTGATGGAACGTACTATATGACTGTCCCTACGGAGCCAAATAGCGCAATGTAGGTAACATTTATAGACTTTGGAGTCCAATGCAGGTGTTATTTGTATACTTGGATCCCCAGGGTGTATATTATGTACACACTGTATTGCAGATGTAAAGATGCATGGCCACATGTGTATTCCACAAACTTCCAACCTTGAAAAGGGCTCGCCTATGTCAGTCAAGATGCTGGCTTGCCGACGTAGTCGCTCAGCGAGCCTCGCCATAGACACTTCTATGAACTCACAGCACTACAGTAGCGTTCCTGCTATGAATACTGTGCCCCAAATTGCTGGGATTCAAGCTTTTCGCGCACAAACGCCCTTGAAAAAAAACAAAGAACTCAAGATATGCCATGGGGCAGTCCCTAAACCCTGAACCCCGCAAACCCTGCACCCTAAACACACACAAGCTCCGAGGTGAACCACGAATGCATGGAGCATTCCGCCCTGACTTGCCATAGAATACTTGGGTCGTAGTTGAAATAAATTTGCCAGGACCCTTCTAGTACCCTTAATTGGGGCTAGAGGGCCCCTAATAGTGGTGCCTAGGCCTGAATAAAGGGGAGTCGGAAGGTCTGGGTATAAGTAAGTTATAAGTAGCCATAGGCTCCAAGTACTAGAATGCTCATGCTTTCGCAAATTTGCTTTTGAGAGGTGAGCTACATATGAGCTACAATCAATGTTTCCCATATGATTACTGACCCAGAGTTCCTATTAAAGAACATACTAGACGGGATACTAAAGCAATGGCGCAATGGCCCCTTGGCAACCCTATCGTTGACGGCAGCTTGTATGCGACGTGCGATGCAACAGCCGGACTTGCGCCACGCATGTAAAAGCCAAAGCTCAGCTGTCACACCACACCCTGAGCGCTGAGTTCTATAGCGTTTGACAATGCTTAAACCCTACCTAGAGTAACCAATGCACGTATACAAAAGAGATTTGTACCTCATACTTTGTTTTTATTGCTTTTGTTAGGGATCTAGCTTACTCCAGATACAATCTAAAGCCTGCCAGCCCTAACATTGGCGAACCCCCCAGCCAAAATCTCCTAAATCCAGCAAAAACACCACAAGACAGGTTTGCTAAAGGACCTCCCAACTGGGAGCAATGCTGAGCCCTCCTCGTTCCTGTCAGGGTTTGTCAAGCCGGCGCAGCATTTTGAACACCTTTTGCCTCGTATTCAGTCTATACAATCTCCGTAGATTCGTGGAAGAAAGTATGGCGCATGCACCTAGGGCCCCTGAAGCACAGCAATTCCCAGAACTTCCTGGACTCGACGTGGGCCAGGTCTCCAGCAACAGTACACCTAACTCTTCAAAGCTTAATGGTACGTTGTCATAGTTGTGATCTGTTTTCGGAATTTCCAGGGAAATGAGGCCCCGAACATTTAGGGTATCCAAAAAGGGACTACCAGAATAATTGACCCTCAACCCGCATCAAGAACCGAAGCTTTGCCTTCGTCCACCCGCAGCTCGATGACCTGTTTCTCGCCGGCGGCTGCGTCTGCTTCTTCAGGCCCTCACCACCAAGGGGTTTTGGGGGTTTTGGGTTTAGGGGTTGGGGTTTAGAGTTTAGGGTTTACCCTCCTCGTACCCCTGACTGGGTTGCTGTTAAGGAATCTAAATTGGCTTACTATACTAGGAAAGCCCTACTATTTACTAGATACAGCAACCCAGTTGACTGGGGATATGTGTACCTTAGTAATGGATGCCTAGTTAGATGGTAGGTGCAGAATGGCTCAGGCTTGAAGAGTTTAGAGGTTTCCAGCTGTGATCGTGTGTAGAAAGGTCTGCAAACAAGTTGCTGGAAAGGCTTGGAGGCTTCTATGGGGCATAGACCCCTCAAACCCTCAACCCTTAACCCTAAAACCTATACATGCGAAAACCCTAAACCCTCAACCAGTTTCATGCCAAGGTGCCCTTCGTCTCCTCCAGCTGCTCAACCACTTTCGTTGCCAGCTTTCGGCAGACCCGTTCGATGTGCTTCTGCAGATTTCGAACACCAGCCTTTCAACAGATGTGTTTGTCCAGGAGCTTTCTTCCCACTATCTACCTAAAGTAAACAATGTGCCTATGAAAAAGGATTTGTGCTTAATATCTTGGCATCCTTTTATTTTCTTAAGGGTCCAGGTTACTCAGGTAGGGCTTGCTCAGTCAGTAGACGGGCGAGAACTGCATTGCATGGGCCTCTCGGCAGTACCAACGGATCAGGGACTCGATCGCTGCCTCATCAATCTCTGCCTGTGAATGATGCTTGGGCGCGACATAGATGCCCAAACAGGGTTGAAGATTTGCGTTAGGGTTGGGGTAATCACCTCCCCGTAATATTACAACCCCCAACCGCCTAATATTAAGTATTATCATTATATTATGTTACAATATATTGGGAGTATTTAGTATTAGATGGGTGTAGGGGGAGGGCATTACTTTCTCGCGTGCTGTACTCGGGCAGCCAGTGGTAACTCTGACCCTAGGGGAAGGATTTCCAACAAGATGCCCGCTTTGCACTACCTACTTGGAGGGTTTAGGGTTTAGGCTCCTATGGGCCACACAAGAATCCCCTGCTGATAGAGTTTCTTAAGCTACTTGTTGAGCGCGTGACCCTCCAAGCACTTCTTTGATTTGCACGGTTTGGGGCCTTGGGCTCCCTGGCATTTGGGGACCTCCATACTTTGGCCCCCGTACTAAGGGTCTTAAGTAACCTGGGATACATTAGCGGGGAGCCATCCCAACTGTAAACCACGTCGCCCGGAAAAAAAAAAAAAAAAGAAATCCTCGAGAAAAAGGCTTCCACTATTTTGCTGGTTGCGAATGGGGCATGCAGAAAGTGAAAAGAGCATGGAAACTAGGCGAAAGCGACATTATTGGGTATGCTACGGGGCCTTCTGTCAGGATCTGCTGCTCCATTCCCTATTCACAATCGGCAAGACTATCCTATGCTGGCACTCGTGCGACAGTCATGGGGGGATAAGGAATTAAACATCTCAAAAAATTGGGGCTTCCTTGACGCGCCCAGAAGAAGCAATGTTCTTGTTGGGGGTTGGGGGGAAAGCATTGGGGGATCGGCTGCTTGAACAATGCAGGTGGCGAAGGGGACGTTGCTGAAAATTATTGACGGTCATCAAGGCTATCTGCCTAGACCCTCCAACTACCCTCCATTCAGTGCTAAGTACCTACTATTCCTGGTAAGGCACACATGGGAGTTTACGAAAATCTAGCAGATTCTGCTATGTGACTCAAGTCATGCGTCTCTGCAAGGAATGCTTCCAGCATGAAGTGTATACTTTAGGGTTTAGGGTTCATGGCTTAGAGTTTTCTTGTGGGCTTGTGATTTAGCATTTTGAGGAGACAAGCATGGCAAGATTTTCTTCGAAAACCCGGATCAAGTGCCTTCCGGCCTGAAAAACCCCTTAGCTATCAGTGATATAATTGCATTGAAATCCCAAAAATCGCTTTGGATGATCTCTGCCACATATCAAAACAAATTGCAGGAAAACCACAGAAGAAACTTGATTAAGAATGCATTCTCTGCGGATGCTGGTTAGTGCACTCTTGGTACCCCATATAGGTGCTACATAGAGGTGCCAATTTGTCCCGGCTCCCGTAGAGGCTATAAGCCTGTAGGGTTTTGCACTTCCTAACCCCCCCCCTATAAGCTATAGTCTAAAATCCCAGTATCCCCCTTAATAACCCCTATAGTAGTCCCCTATATACTCCCCTATATAACCCCCTTTAAGGAGTTTAGACTACAGCTCCTATAAGCTTGGTCTTTGAGGGATCAATTGATTCGGGGCTTAGCATGGGTGGAGGATCAGCATGCAGCATGTTGGCTTTTCCTATGGAAGCAGTCGTCAACGCCCCTGCAACTGGTCCGGTGTCAGTTAACCGCCACCAGCCGCGGGCAACAAAGTCTGGTGCAGTCAAGAACTGCATGGTTGGAAGTAAGCAAAACGCATGGACGCAGCGGCTTCTCTTAACAAAAACCATGGCGCACATGGATCCTGGAAAAGCAAGGAATAGGACAGAAGGGGGGGCCGAAGGGCGTCCACTGGCACAAAGGCCCTGAATTTCTGCTTTCAGGCGATTCAGGTCCCTCAGGGACAATGCCGCCTAATTGGTCCGACGAAGGGCCTCTGGCTTGATGTGTGATATCTCTGTCACGTATAAAGCAGAGCATGTGATAGGAGCCTACATTATCTTGATCATGCTTGCAACAGAGGGGCCCACTGTAGCGTCTTAAGGCAGTATTGCGCGCCTCAGGGGCGCCTGTTCTGGGCACTGAAACATTAAAATACACGTACGGACCTGAGGTGGACTGGAAGCACCTCAGATGCTGAAAACATCAGGTTCATTTCCGGAATGGCTGTCTTCGCCTGAGCTAAGCGCACAAACAGGAAACTTGCAAATCGAACAGAGCTTAAGCTTCGTAGACGGTACAGTATGTTACTGCTGCCAAAGATGATAGCAACAGGGCACACGCCTATGACAGTAGTGCGCCTACCTCGACAGGAACCACGAGGAGAGCGGAGGCAATGATACACAACAGCAGCCAGGAATCACACTCAAAGCGCCGAAGCTGGCTATTCTACATCAGCTTCTCATGTGAGCCATAATCTAAACTCTAGTTTCCTCCTCAGTAACCCTTAAAATACTGCCTTATGTAATCCCCTATAGAACCCCTGTTATGGAGTTTAAGCTCTAGCTCATGTGAAAATGTTAACAACTTCAGCTAGATCGCCTTGTTGCGCCCCTGCTGCTCCAGGGCCTGAGGCATCCCGACGTCGCTGGCAGCAGGAGAAAAGGCCAACAGCCACCGCAAGCCAAAAAACAAAGAGGAGCACTGGCAATGCATTGTCCTCAGGGTTGTAACAACTGCATAGTTGCAACCTTCTTTGGGGGAGCGTATTAACCCTTTCTATATTTGTATCTACCCATGAACATTTCGGATTCGCAGGGTTTAGGAGTGTGAGGCTCTGAGGATTTATAGCTGTTTTAAGATTGATTGAGGAGGTTGGGGGTTTTGGGTGCCTATTCGCAGGTTTGTAGGGTATGGAGGTTGGCGTTGACAGCATTTGGGGGCGTAGGGCTTGGAGGGCTAAGCTCCAGGAATTGTGGTTTATCGGACTTAAAGAACTAAAGGTCTAGAGTCGCGAATTCACATGGTTTAAAATTCCCGGTGACATCTGAGTTGCAGGGTCCAAGGTCCCTACTCTCAGCCGACCCTTTCCGTTGATATCACAGCTCGGGTCGATCTCGCTTTCTCAGGGTTGACATCACGGAAGCAGGAGGGATGACCACAAACGAACAAACATGAGCCATTGTCTAATTTCCTTGCATCCCATTAACAAGCCCTATAATACTCCCCTGTATAATCCCCCCACATAGCCCGCATTTGTAGGGAGTTTAGACTGTAGCTCACATGGGTTTAGGGTGCTTAGGGTTTGGGGTTTAGGCCCGTGAGTAGATCTAGGCCTCGGCACCTGGTACGGATGACAGTCATAGTATCCTGAGTCCGTGTCACCCTAACTACCTACAGTTTAGAGTTTGAGGTTTCGACTCCCTTTCTCTGGGTTGGAGTCACAGGTCATCGGTGTAGTCGGGATGGCGAGGCAACTTCCTTCGGTCCTCTGGAGTCCAGCGCAGTGGAATCCTCGTAGAGGCCCAAACGACAGACACGAGAAAAAAGAGGACAATGCTCAAGATGAGGGCTGTGGCATACCTTGCAGTTGCGAGCAGCGAGACCAGCCACGACTACGGTTGAGGGGCTTAGGGTAGTTCTTGCAGTCTCCTTAGACCCATAATAACAATGTTACTTTTAAAATTCCCTAGAAGTATACTATATTAAACAATTATTGAAAATAATTTCTAAGGAAACTACAGGTTCGTTCCTGCTTAGTTAATCTGAGGGAAGTTTCATTGCTGAACTGGGTGGGGTGAAGCTGAAGAGTTTTCAGTATGACGAGGTCTGCTGTGTTCTGTTGCAGGTTGCTTTATATGCGTATATACTGTTGCCAATTGAGTGCTTAAGTGGTCTTGATTATCTTGATTCATGTGGAATCAAACCTTTTAGACCTGGAGATACACGAAAGCCGTTGTCGAAGGCACTGTGCAAATTTGCCTCTTTTTCTTGCAGCTCCAGTCAAAAACAAAAACTCCACAACAACTCCTTGCCCAAGCTAGGGGGCTCCAAACACCTAGACTCCAAGAACTATCCTTGACGAAAAGTTTGTATAATACCAGACCCTGCAACCCCAAATCCGAGATAAGCCATAGTCTAAACTCCTTAAGGGGGTTATATAGGGGATTTTATAGGGGAGTATTATAGTGGTTATTAGGGGAATACTAGGAGTTTAGACTATGGCTCAGATAAGCTGGAGCACCGCGGAGTCCGCCACTGCAAGCCATGCCGGCAAAGTGGCAGTGATAGCCTCACTGACAAGAGGCTGACAACCGCGATGATTCCTTGGTTGTCGGCCCAGAGTCGCACGGATGGTTTATGAACAATACTAGACAGCTAGACGTTTCATGTTGGGAACTGCTCCCTGTGCTTACATGATGAAGGGGGCAGGGGGCTTTTATAAAAGGTGCCAATAGGTTCTCTCAAATCCCTCTCCATCCATAGCTATGTTACCTGACCAATCCCTTCTGACACCTTGAATCATTGCAGACAAGGCTGTCCTGTTCCAAGAACCCACAGGAATCAAAAGAAACCAAGCATTGTCTGGGTCATACCAAAGCTTGACTTGCAGGGCCACAGCCCACAGACCCACCTGTCAACCTCACAAGAGATTGACACTAGCCCCTAAACCCTGCAAATCCGATCAACACCTAAACCCTGAACCAAGACCCTCCAAGTGCCCTTAGCTGGGATTGTGGGACCCCCATTTAATACACTAATGATGGGCACTTAGGCCATAATAGACGGCGTGTTGAGGGTCTACGTAGCTAGCCGGGAACAGGCTCAAAAAACCGTCATCCAAAGGGCTGTGCAGTGCACCGTAAGAAAATCTGGCTTTCCATGAATAGAGGGCCGAAGATAGACCTTAACGTACTACAACCCCTAAACACTATATATGAGCCACTATAGTAATCCGAGTTTCCACGTCATGTACTATTTTCGGGGAAAACGGCAGCAAGCATCCAAACGGCAGAGCTTTCTGTATTCTCGAGAAACGGTCCACACTAAGGGAAGAGGAATGTCTAGGTATGATATGTCTGGACACTCTTCGGCGGCTGCGCGATCGTGATCGGCCATTGTCGCTGGAACGATCATCGTTGGTCAACAAATTCTCCATCAATCCCACTGATCGCTCAGTATCCTCCTTGTAGCCACCGGTCGTCGCGGGATTGTGTACACCTCCTTGTGGTGAAACACGCGGACCACCCAGGAGTCGCCAGCCTTGAGTTCAACAATTGGCGGGTCGAAGCCAGGGGCGGCCAGAAGCCGCTTGCCCAGCTTCTCAATAGCCTCCTTCGTGACTGGAGCCATTTGGCGTGGCTCCATGAAAGTAAACCAACTCCACCCAGAAGTTGGCTCCGTCTCCTTCTCGATCTGGACGTAGCAGTGGTCCGCCACTTTGTGTGGTTGTGTGGCACCGGGTACTCCGGTGAACCACGGATGAACAAACATCCGTTCCTGTCATACCGTCCTTCCAACGCCCAATCTTTGAACACGACCTTCTTGTCCTTCTCGTCGATGTCGTGAAGGAAAAAAGCCAGGGCTGCTTCCTGGCCAGCAGGCATCTTCAATGCCCCTGCAGCTTCTTGCAGCCTGGCTATGTCTGAAGGGAGGAGCATCAAAAAACCCTTCTACGAAGGGTAAAAAACCTCAGCTGTACACGCGCAAGCACGAGGAAAGGCTGGGGAAGACGCGATCGCTTCACGACGGGCGCGTCGAAGGCAGGCAGAGCGCAGGTGGAGACTAATCCTAAAACCAAACCCCAAACCCAAAAAAAACCAGGCAGGGACCTAGAACCCCTATGGCAAGCTTGACTCACCCAAGCGGAGGCGGTAGGCGGTCAGGGGTCAAGCAGACCGGGCGCCGACTCTGTGGCGAACCCCGCCCGGCGCAGCACGGCGCGTGCGTTTTCACGCTGCACCGTGATTGCAAGGGTTTGGAAGAGGCGCTCGCCCTCAACAGCAGCGCCATCCCCGCTTTTGGCCCCCAAGGGCCTGCGCGGGTTCGCCCCAAGCTTTCATGGCTGCGTGGCCCCAACCCCCGCCAATGCCCTCAGCGACCAGGGGCACGAACTGCAGGCCAGCAGCCTGGCACTGCGGGCTGTGTGCTGATGAGCCCGTTACTGTGCCTCATAGTCAGCAGCGGCCTGCTGCCCCCTGCCGCAAGGCGCTGGTCACAGCCAGATCAAAGGCCGGGGCCATGGAGGCCCCAGTTCCCAACCCAGACATCAGCAGGGCGGCGTAGGCCAGCATTGACCTGACCATCTTCAGGGGCGCCGGCCTCATGCCAGTCTTCTCAACTTCTGGGTTGAGGCCAGCTATTTTCCTCTTCAGCTGATTCTCCTTGATTGGGGGATAATACCTAAACTCTAAGCCTGATCCCTAAACATTTTGGGAAAACCCTAAACCCTAAACCCACATCATAAACCCTAAAACCCTCAACCCTAAACCCTACACCCTAAAAATCCAGACACCCTAAATCATAGTCAGTCGAGGCTCCCCAGTCTGCTCCAAGCCGCAGGCTGTAGGCTACCAGCGCAAAGCCAGAAAGGTCTGTGGAAAACAGCCTCTGGTTTACTTACTGCTTGGAGGGTCAGGGGGCGTAGTAAGTAGGCTAACAACCCCTATAAACCATATAGTCATATAGTAACCCTAGCTATCCCCATCAAGAATAAAGGACTATAACCCGTATATAATCCTTGTATAATATATTCCCGTCTTCCCTACTAACTACCAGTAAAGTTGGGGTTTTGGGCGGTGTCAAGGTCAAAGGACCTGCTGTTGCCAGGCAAGTTTGAGGGGGTTTAGGGTTTAGGGTTCAGGGTTTAGGGTTTAGGGTACAGGGTCTACTACGCAGATTCGTCCTTTACGCTGGTGCGCCAGGTTTCCCATGGGAGTTCGTGCTGCTAGGCAAGCTTCCAACTTAGGGAAAAGTCCGACATGTTTCCTGGCAGGTTCCCGGGATTCCTAAACCCTAAACCCTGAACCCTAAACCGCAGTGTTTGATGACTGATAAAAGAATCACCACGGGTCACTAAAGGAGGAAAGTAGACCTGGACCCTCCCCCAAGTACCCTCCACAGAGTCAAATACCCACAAATAGGACCTACATAGAAGCCACAGTCTAAACTCCTAAAACCCCTCTTTATAGACCCCGATAATAATCATATACCCCCTTTTTTAAGGAATTTAGGTTCTGGCTCATATAAATATAAATGTTACTCAGCAGGGTCTAACCCCCAGGTCTCGACTACTAGGTTGCTGTTAAGGAACTTAAATTAAACTACCATAATGGGTATATTTTGTAAATAATCGGGTTTCCCCAGTGTAGTAACTTAAAATAATTAAGTACCTTAACAGACTGGCGTGACTGAGACCAAGCGGCGCCGAGATGTTGCCCCCAAGGTGAGGGAGGTTGCTGGCAAGGACGGTGTATACAGCATAGTTCACCTGCTGTGCATTTAGAGCGTCAGACTTGTGGTTAAGGGCATTTTTGGTCGAATCTCCAAGAAGATTTCATCTCAATCTAGATGGGGGCTATAGTGTTCAGGGACTTGGGCCGATCCCTGCGGAGTATGATATCGAGATAAGACATACTACTCACCTGCACTATGTAGGGGCATGCACAAATCGGGGGGCCACAAAATTAGACTCTAATGTACAAGTCATCACTGTATATGACTGTGCAAGGGACCCCCAAAAAACAAACACACACACACACACACAAACTAATTTTTGACACAAAAAAACTTGTGAAGCCGCTGTCATACCTACACAAATCGAACGGGTCATGGGAAAGCTGCCTGAGTCATAAGAGCTACTTACTGAAACAGAGATTGTATGGATATACCATTCCTACTTCTTCTGAGCGGAGGTCCATGGGTACTTCTAACCTACCTGCATTGCAGTTCTACCTCTACAGTACAATCACAAGTAAGTTATGCATTTCCATGTGCCTCTAGGTGGTTTCCACTCGAAGGGGGACCTAGTAAGTGGATTAAGAAGCCCTACCAGCCATATAATGACCCCACGTACCCTTGTTATTAACCTACTTATTAAATCCCCCTGACCCTCCAAGTACATTTTGCGCCAAGGGTCGGGAAGCATGAAGCCGCCAGCACCTCGGGCGAGGTTGCCAGACAAGTGCTCCCGCACGAGGCCATTGAACGATTCCAGGTAATCCTGCAGCGGCCAACCCTAAACCCTAAACCCCTGTGCTTTTGAGGGCTACCTTGCACCTCTGGGTCTCTGAAATCCTAAAGGTCCAAGGACCCAAATAATGGGGTTTTAGGGCCAAAATACCGTTAATGGGAGAGTATTTGGGCCCTTAAGCTCTATTAATCATCTAGGTCCTTGGACCCTAAGGGAAAATGAGCAGCTGGAGAAAGCGCCAGCGCACTCTAGCTTAGAGCGGCGCGCTCCCACGCATACACCTGTGTTCAGCGGCCACTATGCCATTAATTTGACGAGGCCACGAAGATCTCTGCGTAACATCATGTAATCTACAGTAGCCCCCCATATCCTCCCCTAAATTATACAGCAATCTTCGTTCCCTTTCCATTCCCTACCCCAGAAATGGAAGTTGCCATTTCCTTCTCGCTTGAAACTAAGCTTGGACTTATGCTTCGTTCTTCAAAAATTCGAGGACCAACAGCAAGGGTACGCAAAAACAACTCAATCATGGGAGGCCCCTCTGTGGAAAGATTGATAAATTTGGTTTAGGGTTAAGGGAATACAGGCCTCACCCTATCACCCTAAACCCTAAACCCTGAACCGCGTGTTTCCGTACCTGGGAAACCCACAACTGCTGGTCCTCGTCCTTCATATCAATGCCACTTGGTGTTGCCTGCTTTTCTCCGCAAGTGCACTGGCTAACCCCAAACCCTAAACCCTCAGCTTCCATTGCAAGATGACAGCTTCCTGTCGTTGCGGCGACTTAATTTGTTGCCCTCGACTTTGAGACGTTCTGGCGGCCACAGGGTAAAATCGTAATGATACGCTGGGCTCCCTACACATATTCCCAGTATACAGCTAGTACTGGGTAGCTCTAATGTATCGAACTCAATGGAGGGACCAGAAGAACTACCCATATCACAAAGAAGTTTACCCAGAGGCGCCGTATACCATAGTTATACCAGGAATCTAGAACTGTAGTGTTGGTAACTATTTTGGTTGCTGTCCTAAACTCTAAACCCAGCTATAAAAGTTGTCTTTACAGACCCCAACTTGCACCTGATGGCGTTCCTGCCGACTTGCACTTCACTTCCCGAGGGCGCCAATTCGCTAAATGAATGCAGCATGTATACGTTAGGAGGACCCCCTACCCTGTAATAGTGGTATACTAGGAATCTCAGAGCACCCTAATATTATCCTTATTATCCTTTATAGTCACTATTAACCCCAAACCCTAAACCCTAAAACCCTAAACCCCAAACCCTAAACCCTAAAACCCTAAAACCCTAAACCCCAAACCCTAAACCCGAAACCCTAAACCCTAACAGGGTTCCCTTATAGTCACTATTACTGGGTGGGGGGTCCACCTAATGTATACGTTACACGCGGCCCGATCCCAACCTCTATTGTGGCCTACGTTAGGGTTTAGGGGCTTAGGGTTTAGGGGTTTTGGGCTTTAGGGGTTTAGTTTAGGGTTTAGGGGCCATATTAACTGGGTACTAGGAAGGAATAATGTTGGTATTGGTTTAGTGTTTAGGGTTTAGGATTATAGGCTGGGAACTTGCCTGCTTCAGCAATACGGGACCGCAAACCTTGTTCCCCTTTGGGTTTAAGTCTTAGGCAGGGCCTTCAGGAAGAAGTAGAATAAGAATCACCATGACAATAGTCAGAATGACAAGAAAGACAATGATAACAGTACTACCCAAATATTAGTGGCAAAAGTGATAATAACAGTAAGAACAACAGGAATGACAACAATAATACCATTACCCAAAAGTAATAACAATAATGACAAATAACAATAAGAACAAGAATCATGCCTCTCCTTATCCGAAGGCCTGCTAACACACTGCATAGGGCCCAAACACTGTCCTACTGTTGATACTAAAAATCCTGCATGGCCCTGGTATACCAGAGTACCATAACAGGGTATAACGTAGCTAGGGTTATGCAGGATTTTAAGTATCCTCGGTTTTTCAAAGAATTTCATACGAGCTGCCCTAGGATCCATCACACAAGCTTGCCACAGCAGTTGAATATACGTCCATGATGTCCGCTTATGTAGGCATAACCACTGCTTTTGCAAGCATTCGGCACGTCAAGGTGCGCAGTTGTCCTACTGACCTTAGTATACTATAACGCCATAATTTCCAAGGCATAAGGTGCTTGGGGTCATGAAGCATGTTCAGTATTCATCCTAAAAATACATGTAGTCACTGCTTCAATTCCATGATCCATCTGATTCTCCATTATTAGGATATACAACTTTTTTATAGTCACTGTTTCCATGTCATTTTCCATTTGATTATGAGGGAAATGTCCCTAAACCCTAAACCCTGAAATGTCCCTAGTATCCACCGTAGTGCATGCCAAGCCGCTTGTCCGTACCTTGACTGCTGTGTCTGATCTGCTAAGTCTGGGCACCGTGCTGTGAGGACATGGACAAAAAAGTACATGCTCAAGGATTTAAAGTTCTTGAAAAATTGCAGAATTCAATGAATTCCCGAATGACCCAAGACCCGCTTACAGGCAACACCTGGCTTCTATGCCTGCGAATTACATCGAAATCTGCTTTGAATGGCAAGTGGTACAAATAAGGGGCGCGCTGACTTTACTACACTTATCATGTTCCCTAAGCCCTAAACCCCTAAACCTCTACACCCTAGATCTTGCCCCACATGCTGCGCGGCGGCCATTTGTTCAGCGCCTTGTAGACCATTTGACGATCGCATGGGATCCTAGGCAACAATGCTGGCAAGGCCTACTTGGTTTTGAGGGCGGCATGTAAGACACACTGCTGAAAGATGAACTTTCTTCTCGCGGGGGCTCTCAGTCACTAATTCTGACGCACACCGGGCCCAAACCTCTATAAATAGTACCTACATGGCATTTCCATCATCTTTGAAAACCTGCCCCAAAGCCCCTCAGTCCTAGACACTAAATCCCGGGCTAAATCTTAAGCCCTACGCCTTTCTGTGTTCCATATGACGTGCTCTGTATGGATGACCTGACCACTCCCCTCTACACTACCCCCAGGTTCCCCCTCAATGAAGCTTGTTGGGGTTAATTAGGCTGAAATAAGGGTGTAAGGAGGCACCTAAAGAGGGCAGTGTAGGGCAAGATATAATAAGGGAATGGGTAGTCTTAAATCCGATTTACACACCTGGTTTCCTGACTCGTCCAAGAGAAGCTGGTTTCGTATTGGGATATGATTCGTACAACGGTCGTATTCCTCATAGGATACTAATATAATTTGAGAACTGCATGCGAGCAACGTTATGTAAACAACTACAGGCCCAAACCTCCAGACACCCAGCCATAAAATCCTCAACCCGAAAGCACCCTTACCCTAAAACCCTGAAACCTAAAATCCTAAACGTGCAACCCGCAAGCCC